AGGGCCTGTGCACCCAGCCGCATGGTAGAGCTGCGCTGCGCTCTAGTGTTGCTTAGAGGATGGTGAGGAGCGCAGTGTCTGCGGCTGACACGCCGCAGGGCTGCAGCTGAGCTGCTGTGTGTGCACGCACGTGTGCACACGTGCCGTGTGGGTGCAACATGTGTTTCTGCCACAGATGGCTCCGGGCACTATGTCCATGCCCCCACTGCTGGGCCAGCAGTCAGAAATAACTCCGTTTCCCACCTGGGTAGGGGTTCTGGGGTCCCGGAGTCTAGCCTGAAAACGTTGCCATCTGACTTTGTCGGACTGTGGGTAGGAGGAGTCAAGGGGGCTGCGTGTGTGTGTGTGTGTGCGCGTGTGTGTGTGCGCGTGCGCGTGTGTGTGTCGGGTCCTGAGTCCTCACACGGCCTGTGTTCTGTGTCCCTCGTCCACATCCCCCCACGGAAGGTGGCCGCAGCTGCCCGCTGCACGCAGCCCGCTGGCCCTGAACAGAGCCGGTAGGGCAGGGGAGGTTCCTGCCGGGGACACTCAGGGCCCCTCCTCTGCCGCCTGGAGGGGTTCCCTCCCTCGGCCTCGGCCTCCCCTGTGCCTGTCTCGTCAGCTCAGTTTGGTCAAGCCAGGCATGGCTGCTGGCCTAGGGCCACGGTGCCGGGAGGCTGAGCAGGATTTCAAGTTCTAGGCTAGTCTAGGCTGCATGGGAGACCCCGTCTCAACACGGACAACCCCGACGCATGAAAACAAGGATCAGATTGGCTTTATTTTTGCGCGCATTTGGAGGCTAGCCTCCCCTGGGGTGAGGTTGTGAGGCTGACTTGGGCCCTGTGGGGTGGGAGTGGCCGGGAGTGTGGCCCTGGGCTCCTAGGGGAAACAGGCAGGGCTGGAGGCCACGGAAGGCGGGCGTGCTGGGTGGCCGAGCTTCCAGGAGGGCTGGTGGGGGTCGGGTTTGCTTTCTGAGGAGGCGGCCCTGCGTGGAATGGACACCAGTGGGGCGGGTCTGACGCGGCGTCCTCGGGAGGGACTGCGCGTTCATGAGGAAGGGCCCGGGGCCGCCTTCCACGGCACCGCTTCTGTGGCCGCGCGTGTCTGTGCTGCGCGGTGGGGTCGCCGCAGCTGCTCAGGAGGGGCGTGGCCGCCGCTGGCTGGCTGGCCGCTGACCGCCTGGTGCCCGGTACGGTCCGAACATCTACGAGTCTTGAGTCGCTGTCCCCAAGCCCTGCTCTCCAAGGAGGGAAGGCAGGCAGCCTGCAAGGCCAGGGCCCGTCTGGAACTGACCCCTCCAGGCTCTGTGGCCTGTGGAGGCGGTGTCCAGTGTGTGGCCTGTGGAGGTCTGTCCAGGGCCCTGTGTCCTGGGGCCCCGGTGGGCATGGGTGCTGTGCGGGTGCACAGCTCTCTGGCTGCCCACCCCGCACTGGGGTCCGCCGGGAGGCGGGGGCCGGCCCGGGGCCGTGGCGGCATCTCCCGCTTAGGGCTGCCGTGGACGGAGCCGGTGCCTGTGGTCTCAGGCAGCCCTGCACCTCCTCACCCTGCCCTGGTGCCCGACCCCGGTGGTCCTGTGCCCAGGGCTGGGAGCCCTCAGCCCCGGCGGGCACAGGGCTTGAACCCTACAGCAGAACATGCGGGGAAACCCCGGGGAAGCCTGGCCTGTCTGAGTGCGCACTGCTTTTCAGGAACAAGACTGCCAACGGAGACTGCCGCCGGGGGCCCCGGGACCGCAGCCGCAGCCCGGTGGACAGGGCTGCAGCGCCCGCCGTGAGCCTGCACAGCAGCCACCTCTACGCGTCCCTCCCCGGCCTCATGGAGCAGCCGCTCGCGCTGACCAAGAACTGCGGGGACGCCGGCAGGGCGGCCGGCCTCTCCCCCACCCTGACGCCCACCGAGCGGCAGCAGGTACGTGTGCCCGGGCCCACGGGGGCTGGCAGCCTCTGCCCGGGTTGGCAGAGCAGGCGCCGGCGCCGTGTCCCTGGCTTGGCTTTTTCGCACCACGCGGCGGTGGGGTTTCTTGTGCCCAGCGCGGGTCACGCCTGAGCCGAGCTCACCGCGGATTCGCGCGCCCCGGACATCTGTGAGCGGCTTGTTAATTAAAAACCAACGCAGGGATCCCCGCACCCCTTCATGCCCTTGGCCTGCGCGGGAAACGCATCTCTTCGAGAAGTGCGGTTTCTGGAGTGCGCGTGGGCACAGGGTGCGCCGGGCCTCTGGGGGCCGTGACTGCCAGGCGCCCTGCCGGCCTTTGCTCAGACGAGCGGGAGCCAGGGCTGGCACCCTGGGGGTCCTCCCCGAGGGTGGGCCCGCCACTCTGCTCTCCCAGACCTTGGACGGCAGGTGTCAGGGGGAGGGGGGCAGCACACCGTGCTGAGCCTGGGTGTTGCCGCGATGGCAGCCGAGGGGCCTGGGCGGTGTGTGGGTGCGCGGCGTGCCCACAGTGCTGCGCCTCAGACAGCTGTGGCTCCAGCCCTGGTGGGGTGGGGGGCTGGGCACAGTGGGAACCGGCCTGAGCTGGCTTTGGTGTGGGTGGGATCCTGAGTCCGTGGGGCAGGGTCTTCCCAGTCCTCCGTGACTCAGTTCCCGGGCTGTCATGCAGACTGGAGAGGGGGCCGGACCAGTGCCGCACAGCGGAGCCTCCGCCTCCCCCCCCCCCCAATCCCTCACTGACCCTGGAGTCCCGGCCGCCTGCAGATCCCCTGCAGCGCAAGAGCGCTCAGCTCCGTCAGATCAGCCGGGGGCGGGGTGGGGGGCAGAGTAGGAGGTGGGTCTCACCGCCCTCCCTAACCCTCCCCTCCCCTTCCCCCTCCCTCCCGCAGAACCGGCCCTCTGTGATCACCTGCGCGTCCGCCGGTGCCCGCAACTGCAACCTCTCACACTGCCCGATCGCGCACAGCGGCTGCGCCACGCCGGGGCCTGCCAGTTACCGGAGGCCGCCCAGTGGTGAGTGTCCATGCCCCTAGCTGAAGCCCCGAGTGGCCAACCTTCACCCTAAAAGCTGCCTGGTGTCGGCACGCCTGTGTCCGATGTGTCTGAGGGGAGCCGGTGGGCACATGCGGGCCCTGGGCCTGTGCCCAGCCCCGGGCAGCAGGGACAGCACTGGGTCTCAGGCTCAAAGAGGTGCCCGCCCCGTGACCCCGGCCTCTGATCGCTCCCTTGCAGCCGCTGCCAGCTGTGACCCTGTTGTGGAAGAGCACTTCCGCCGGAGCCTGGGCAAGAACTACAAAGAGCCCGAGCCAGCGCCCAACTCCGTGTCCATCACGGGCTCCGTGGATGACCACTTCGCCAAGGCTCTGGGCGACACGTGGCTTCAGATCAAAGCCGCCAAGGATGGCGCGGCCAGCAGCCCCGAGTCCGCCTCACGCAGGGGCCAGCCGGCCAGCCCCTCTGCCCACATGGTCAGCCATGGCCACTCCCCGTCGGTCGTCTCCTGAGCAATGCCCCCTCTGGGGACGCGGGGACCTGCATGATTTGCTGAGCTTTGAACAGTCCGTGCTTAAACACAAACACAAAAAAATGACAGGGGCAGGGGGGGTTCTGTTGTTTTGTACTCGCTTGGTATTTGTACAAGGGGCCTCCAGCGTGGCGGCAGGAAAGCGTGCGACACCGGCCCAATGTAGCAGCCTCACTTCCTGCCTCGCTCACCAAAGAAACCTCGGCGCAGGCCCGTGGCCGGGCCGGGTCCGCAGCGCGCCCGCTCACAAGCCATGGCCCCCGGCCAGCCACATCTTCCTGCTTTTCTCATTTGCTTCTTGAGACCTGGGCCCGCGTGTCCCATTCAACCAGCGTGTGCATGCGTGTGCGTGCGTGTGTGCGTGTGTATACTTGAAGAGAGCTGTCGTGTCTGATTTGCACTATTGGAGGGGACAGGGGCTGTCCGTGAGACGCGTCCTCTGAGGGCAAACTGCTGAGAAAACCAAGGGCTCAAGACTGATACCTGGACCATTCCCGCGCTTCTGTTAGCCGAAGCCGCCTCGGGAGGGAGCCGAGTACAGCTTACGTAGGTCATTTTAGATTTCAGGTGCTGGCAACCGGACTGCAGCCCCGGCCGGCCCCCGCGGGCATCTCCCTGCTCTAACACTGCCGCTGTTTAGACTAGTGCAGAGGCCGGAGGATGCTGGGCCGCTTCAGAGGCCGCTCGCGTGTTCACAGGAAGAGAGCTATTTCTAGGCTGTACGGACGCCCTTGCCTACGCACTGCTGGTACAGTTGTGTATTGGACGTTCACTCTGCTCACCGAGCGCCGCGGAGGAGTCGGTGGACGTCTGTCCGTCTGTCGTCACTGATGTCCACATCCCAGGCTGCGTTCCTGCCAGCTCCCCTAGGAGCTGGTCTCCAACTTGCCTGGATGCATGGACTGCTTCCTTTTAATCCTGGCCAAGCAAGCAGATTGCTGGCGATGTGCACGAAGGTATTCGTACGCTGGGGCCAAGTATACATTCCTGACAATACAGTTATGACGGCACTCACTCTCACCTGGCTGTGTTGATAGCTACTAACTAGAAAGTGGAGACGCAGGGCAGACGGGCTGGGCTGCCCTGCAGCGGGGTCTCCTGTCTGGCCCCTCAGCTGTGCTACATCTAGCCCGGCCAGGGGGGCGTGGGTGTCTGGGCCACAGAGCATTGTGGACTCCTGGAAATGGAAGTCCATGGCGCCAGCTTCCAGGGGGAGGGAGATACAGGGGAGCTGTGGAATTTTGGAAACTGGCACCGGCAGGGCAGGCTGGGGGCTGGCCCCTGTAGTCATGGGGTGGCGGCAGGCCTTTGAACGCAGAAAGGCTGCCGCTGCCTCCCCCACTTCTCCCACCCCCTCCTTCCCCCTTCCTCTCCCCCCCCCTCCCCGCAGCCCCCACGGCCCGCCACACTTCACTCTCACTCTGGGCTTCCAGACTTTGGCATTCGGGCCCCTATATTTCTGTAGGAAGAAAACTGTTGAACACTTTTTTATATAGGTAACTTTAAGACCATCATTACGCTGTGCGTAAAGAATGTACAGAGAAATTTGTAGGTATTTTTTGAAGAACAATTAATTTGTTAATGATATGTAGCTATTTAATTTTTCCCTTTCCTATCATAATCATTCTTTTTTTTTGTTGTTGCTTGGGGAAAAAAAAAGTTGATCTTTTTTTGTGTGTGTGTAGACGTCTGTAAACGTGCAGGAACACAGTCACCTTGAGAAAGCGGCGTCCGTGTCAATAGCCACTAGTTTGTTATCTGCAGGCTACGGGCATCGGACAGGAAAACCATTCTGCGACTCTCCTGTCCCTGCGGGAGGGGCGGGGGGCGGGGCCCGGCGGCCGCCCCCGTGTGCGCTGGCCTATCTGGGATAGGCAGTGTGGGCAGAGGGGGTGGCGGGAACAAACACGTCACTGCTGAGCAGCCTCCTGGCCTGGGGGGGGGGGGGGGCTGTCCACCGTGCGCATGCGCGGACCCTCTCTGAGTCTGTAAATCTGTAATATACCATTCTCTGTGGCCTGTTTTTCCTGGAAGAAGAAGAAAAAAAAAGGTTTGGCAGGCCATCTTTTTTTTTTTTTTTTTTGTACTTAAAAGTAGCCTTAAGAACAATAATAAAGTGCTCTTAAACCACAGCCTGTGGCTCTTGGGTCCTGAGTGGCCGGGGGAGGGGGGGTTGCACGGGGCCCCTGGTGAGTTAGGAATGCTTGTTTCTGTGTCTCCTGTAGTCTCTCCTACGGCAGTTCTGCTGCTGGTCAGTCAGCCCCACACTCCACTTTGGCATCAGATCTGGGCCAGAGACAGAAGCTGAGCCTCTCGGTCACATGTGCTGCTGGGCAGGGTGGCCCTGGGTTCTAAGGACATGCCAGCTCCCCTGGAGGAAAAGCGGCTTCCGCCTCGGTGACTAGCCTGGCAGGGCCCACCTGTCCCCGGGCCGGGGTCCCTCAAGTGCCCACTGCTGCAGAGACAGCTAGGGGCTCCCGTCTCCATGGTACCCCAGGGTGAGGTGGGGCCCACGGCGGGGTGCGGCTCCTGGCCGGAGCTGGCTGCTCACTGCCCCGTTGGGTCTTGGGGACCAAGATGGGAGGAGCGTGGGAGCTTGAGCACTGTGGGCACGGGAGACCATCACTGTGCGTGGATCATGGAGGTGGCAAAGCCAAGGTTATTATTGAACCCAAACCCAGTGGGGCTGCAGAGCGGGGGCCTCCTGTCCCGGCTCAGGCAGGCTGCAGGCCCACATCCCCAGTCTTGGGCACAGGCCTGCTCTGACGGCCGGCAGCTGGGGTGGCGCGGACCCTGCGGAGGGGTGGTCGGCTCACACGGTCTCGTCGTCGCTCATGTCCCAGATCTGTGTGGAGAAGGGGAGACACTCAGCCCAGGGCTCCCCTCACCCATGGGTATGCTCCCCAGAAGCACGTCCCTGTGCATGACGGGGGGGGGGGGGTAGGTCCCGCCCCTCGCTCTGGCTGCAGATCAAGGCCCCGCAGCAGTGAAGCCAGCGTGAAGTCCTCCCACCTCAGGCCGCACAGCCACCCCTGCTTGCTCCCGTCATCACCACCCACCTGTCCTGCCTGCCCCCACCCATCGCCACCCCCCACTCTGCACGTGGGCTGACAGCCCCCAGGGAAGCTCAGGGAGCGGCCCACTCCCCTAGGAGCGGGGCCCACTCCAGTCCCTGCAGAGGGACCCAGGGCCCCTTGCCCCAGGGCTGACTAGAAGGCCATTCCTGAAGCCCTGCCCTCGGTCCCAAGCCCGAGCAGAGCCCGGAAAAAGAACAGTGTGTTATGGTGGACTGCCCGGGTGGCAGGGGCCCAGCCAGGGTAAACATGGCTGCCAGCTTGGCTTCCACAGCCAAGGGTGAGGAAAGCCTTCTGGAGAGCCATTTCTACACGGGCTGCGGCCTGTGGGCACGAGGGTGGGCTGTCAAAGCGGCTCCGATGCCAGCATGCACAGTGTGGCCTGCTGGGCTTTCTGTCCCCAGCCTTCTGGCCAGGTGTCAGCAGCTCGTGGCACACACTGGCTCTCAGACACGTTTATGGGTTCAAACCATGAGCCAACTCTCCCTCCACCGAACATCTGCCTGCTGCCCCCCCCTCCCCCATCACAGGGACAGGTGTGAGAGGGCTGAGCCAGGCAGGCAGAAAGGGGAGGCCCGGGGAGACACCAGCGCCCACCCTCCTCACTGTCAGAAACGTCCTGTGAAGATGCCCTGGCCACTCACAGCATTTGGCCCCAGCAGTTCCCTACTCCAGGTGATCTCGCAAGAAATGAAAACCTGACCACATGCGTGTGCACGCACACACGTTCAAAGCATCACACACGGCTTCCAAGTGAACGGGGGAAGGCTCCCCAGATGTCCACTGCAGCGAGGCTGGGCAGGATGCACACTTATTTAGACCCATGGGAGTGGAGGCACTGGGCGCGCCGGGACCTCTCCACCTTACTCGATAGTCATGAGCCTTGTTCCTCCCATTAGAGTCCCTGCTCCGTGTCTGGACTCTCCCGGGCCCACACTGGCTCTCCACAGCACATACAGGATCACCACTCCACAGAGACGGAGATGGCCCCGCCCCCGCCCCATGCTGAGTGGCTTCGTTCTGCGTGGGTCTTGGTCACCCCACCATGGGCCTGGCCCAGTCCCTCTGACACAGCCCCAGCACAGAAAGTGGTGGGCGAGGCCGCTGGCCGCGCTGAGTTGCAGAGGAGGGGCCTGGCGGCGGGAGGGGCTGGGCCACAGACCTGAGCACAGACCACCCCAGGCTGTCTCTGGACCTCACTTCTGGGGGCTGCCACAAACCAAGGTTCTATCAACACTGTAATTACCCTGTGAATGGCACAATTATGTGTTGGCGTGTGTGTGTTAAAAGTGTTCCTTTGGTAAGTGTAAACATTTCCAATAGCGCACCGTGGGGAGCGTGTGGGAGGAGGGACCGGAGCTCCCGCCGCCCCAGCTGCGCTTCTCCGCGGGAGTGGCAAGCCCGGCCTGAGGATCCCCCCCAAGCACGCTGCAGAATCTGGGGGAGTAATGAAGGCCTTTGGTGTGTCTCCGGGCACAGCAGCCCCTGCTTGGCCCTCATGGGCGTCTACTCCTTCCTGCGGTGTTCATGGGGTGGCGCAGTCCTGGGTGTGAGGTGCGTGCACATTCCCCCCCAGCCCAGGAAAGGCCAGCGCATGCACCGTGCTCAGGGTGGGGTCCAGCAGCCGGCACTCAGAGCACTGCTAGCCTCAGGCTGGGGGGAGGCAGATGGAATGGGAGGAAGCCCTTGTTGGTGTTGAGCTGAGGGGCAAGGTCAGCGCCCAGCGCTGTGCATGCTGACCCACACATGCCAGGAAGCTGGGGCTGTGGGTCTTCCGACCCTCAGATCCTGCCCACCACGTTCACGCAGAACCACGCAGGTTCCACCCACACCACATCCCCACAGAACCACAGATTCCACTCACACCACGTCCCCATAGAACCACAGATTCCACCCATGCCCACGTCCCCGCAGAACCACAGATTCCACCCACACCACGTCCCACAGAACCACGTGGGTTCCACCTACGCCCACATCCCCATAGAACCACAGATTCCACCCACACCATGTCCCCGCAGAACCAGATTCCACCCACACCACGTCCCACAGAACCATGCGGATTCCACCCACGCCCACATCCCCATAGAACCACAGATTCCACCCACGCCCACATCCCCATAGAACCACAGATTCCACCCACACCCATGTCCCCATAGAACCACGCGGGTTCCACCCGTGCCCACGCAGCATCCCACAGATTCCTGCCTTGCAGCCTGCAGCCTGCAGTTTCCTGTGGCACAGGGAGGCTCCCTGTGTGTAGGGAGCTGTGTGTAGCTCCCTGTGTGTAGCTCCCGAGCTCCCTGTGTGTGTGTGGGGGGGGCGCAGGGTCTCTGTGCCCTGGCCCTGCTGACTTCAACCTTTCCACCCACAGCTGGCCCTGACCAGAATCTGCCAGACACTGCCACCTCTGACTCCCCAGGCATGGGGAGCCCTGGCTGTCCCCGACCCCTGCACTGCCCCCTGGGCACCGAGGACTCGGCCCAGATGGCAGCTTCCTTGACTTTGCCCGGGACTTTTTCCTCTCCCTCCAGCTCTGCTCCTCCTGTCCCCCCAACAGCGTTGCCCTGCCTTCCCCTTGGGCATCCTACTGACCCCCCTCCTCACACCCCAAGCTCAGCTCCTGACGCAGCTGTTTCTGAATGGTTCCATGAAGGACGGAAAGGATTTGTGGCATGGACATGAAAGTCACAGAGGGCCCTTGGTGCCCCAGGCCCAGGAGGACAGTGGGAGGGCGGGCAGGCAGGCAGCAGACCCCTCCGCCGTGGCTCAGCCTGGCATGGGCGTGGGATGTGGGAGCTCTGTACACAGTCTGGGACCCAATGGGCGGCCCGGGCAAGGCCTCAGGCAGGGGCTGGTCTGAGCTCTTGGCCTCTAGTCGGCGCAACACACAGAATCTTGGGGTGCTAGGGCACTCCTAGCACTGTTTACAATGGGGTCTCACCAACTTTATTTTGCCCTGGCTGGCCTCAAACCATGATCTTCCCAATCTCTGCCTCCTGAGCAGCTAGGATCGCAGGCATGAGCCATGGACGCCCACCTGGTACCTTTTAAAGGATGGCTGCTTGCCTACCAGCCTGGAGGCGTAAAGACCACCTCTCTCCTTTGGGGTATCCTATCCACAAGGCCAGCTTGGTGGGCATGGACTTCAGGGGCAGCCTCCAGTTCCAGAGGGTTCTGTGGAGCGTCTCCCTAGCCACAGGGTGCTAGGTGAGGAGGTGTGTGCAGAGTCCTGGCCTCCACCGTTGGAGTGCCACAGTGACCGGCCACAGCCAGCCAGGCCAGCAGGCACGGGGCGGGAGGCACGTGACAGCAAGCTGTGCCAGCCAAGGCCGAGGAGAGGAAAGGGAGGGGAGACACCGCCTTGGCAGGGCTGGGTGCATGGCGGGGAGCCGGGCGCATGGCGGGGAGCCGGGCGCATGGCGGGGAGCCGGGCGCATGGCGGGGAGCCGGGCGCATGGCGGGGAGCCGGGTGCATGGCGGGGAGCTGGGGCGCATGGCGGGGAGTTGGGTGCATGGCGGGGAGCTGGGTGCATGGCAGGACTGGGTGCATGGCGGGGAGCTGGGTGCGTGGCAGGACTGGGTGCATGGCGGGGAGCTGGGTGCATGGCGGGGAGCTGGGTGCATGGCAGGACTGGGTGCATGGCGGGGAGCTGGGTGCATGGCGGGGACTGGGGAGAGGGAAGGCACGAGTGGAGGAGCAGGGTACACGCAGCAGCCCGGCCCCCCCCACCCCACCCGAAGACGTTCTGTGCTGATGCGGCCAGGCTGGAGGGCAGGCCGGGCCTAGGCACAGGTCAAGCAAAGGAGGGCAGACACCCAGCCTGCACACTCGGTGCCTAGATCTGGGCCACAAGTCCAAATCTGGTACCCCAAGCAACCAAGGTAAGGCTGGATACAGGAAGGAGGCTGGGGGTGTCCTGGAGGGGGGTGCAGGAGAGGCTGGGGAGAGCAGGGGCTGAGCAGCCGGGGAAGCCCATCTCACCTCCAGCCAGAAAGGCACAGGACTCCCAGACAGCCCACCGGTGGGGAGACCCTGTGGTCCCTGCAAGAGGGGTGCCACTGTGTCCCAGGGAGTGAGCAGCAGCCCCCCCACACACACAGGGGAGAAGGTGGGGGGGGGGGGGGGGGAGGGCCTGCGCTTGTGCGGCTGGCACAGGCCGGAGCGCCGGAGGCCTTACACCTGCTGACAAGCAGATCTGAGGTGGTAGGGAACACATTTAAAAAATAGAAAACAAGGTTTGCCCGGCTCTGGTTGGCCTCCTGAGGGTCTTTGCAGCGCTTCTGGCGTGGCAGGGAGTGGGGTGTTGGTGTCCGGGGACCTGGGGGACACACTGGCTGCAGGCAGGGCAGCAGCGGCTTCCTAGGGGAAGGCTGGCCTCGCCCTGGGAATCCCCACCGAAGTTTCCAGACAGGAGGCCCTGGGGTCCCACCCGATAGGCTCTGCATCTGAAAACAGGCCTCAGGGCCCGAGGTGTCTGGAAGCCTCCAGGAGGCATCACTAAAACACGGCTACCTCCAAGGCCCGGCGGCACCGAGGTGGGTACAAGGCCGGCGTGGGGTGGTGGGACTGAGGGTTCGAGTCTTCCTTATCCCTGGCTCTCTAACGTGTGGCCATGAATGTCAGGAACCACAGGATGCCGCACGGGCAGCGCCAGCCTCCCGTGGAGCTGGGGACGGTGTGGATTTAACCCGGGGACGACTCGAAGGCAGGGGGTGTGCGAGAAAGCGCATGCCCGGCCTGCTCGCCAGCGCCCGGGCTTGGGTGGAGAAC